GTCGGCGGATAAGATTGGAATGTTCATATCAACCATATATATAGAGAAGCGAACTTTGCAGCTGATTGTTTGGCGAGCTTAGCGGATTCGTATCCACTTGGTCTTCATCGTCTGGTGGCACTCCCGCCTGCCGAAATCGGCCCATGGATTGGTCACGATAATATAGGGGTCTCCTATCCCCGTAGAGTGTTAGCCTAGTAGCTTTCGCCTCTCTTTCTGTACCAAAAAAAAAAAAAAATGTCTCGAGCATCTTCAATGGAACATTGTCTATTTTTGTGTTGAATAGTATGAAGAAAGGGTTAAAAAAATGTGTCTCCAATAGTAAGCATTAATTGTGGTATACATTGTGATGTGTAAAATTGTAATTGGTTAAAAAAAAAGATAAATTAAACAAATAATATAATATAATGTGGAAGTTGTTTAGAATGACTTCTACATCTAAAAGTCTTTCTAGAAATTTACCATGCCACATTTAATTATTTGTACCATGTGGCAATATAAAAGAAGAATAAAAGAGCCACTGGAGATGCTCTAAATGACAGCTGGCCATTCACACCATTGCGGGCATCCATTAAAGGGGTGGACCTCTTTGTCCCTTCAATGCAATGAACGACACATTTGGGTGCCTTTTTTTTTCATTTAATTGTTAAATATTTATATATATATATATACTAGTTGGTCGATGGCTGTGCACGCACAGCCGGTCATAGTTCAGTCTATAATTACAACTATTATTTGGAAAAATTTAAAAATACACATACCCACCTTTTGTGGCATTTATAAATCTAGATTTAAATAACTTAACAACAATGCATAAGGAATTAAAAAAATGCAATAATTTAATAAGATATCTACCAATTTATAGAAGCGTTAATAGAATTTTTTTTTTAACACAATATTTGAGAAGCTGCATTGAAAAGCAAAAGATTACTATGCTTAACAATGTACCCAAAAAGTGCCACAAAGTTGCACTAAAGGAGAACCTTAAAAACAATTATTTCAATTCCATCATGTGCTATTTGCGTAAACTCACGAATAAATTTCAACAATGTTGTTTTCAGTTATAAAGTCATGGCATCTATGACCCTACATTATTTTCTTTCCCGCCTCAAATTTAAGCATTAGCAAGAGTGAGAAAGAAGAAACTCAGAATTATAAACTAATATGAGAAATTTGATATATATGCTTTATATAACATAGACAAACAAAGTATCATTAAGTCTATATATTCCATTATGAAGCATAAGTTCACTTCGTCAAGCTATAAAAACAAATAGTACCAATAATAAAAAATAAATTGATAGAAGTAAAAAAAATTAACGATCAGCTTCAAGAATAAAAGTTCAAGCCACTCTTGGAAAATTTAATGGCTATGGAAAGTAGGAAACCATTTTCATTCTTCTTGATGATGATTTTCTGTCTTCGGGTCTGTCACGATGAAAATTGTCAGGGTAATTAATACAATTTTGATTTGGTTGAAGAGTGGACTGAGACAGTCACATAAAAAACAGTACAATTTTGATTTGGTTTAAAATCACACTTGAACTGTAATATATTCTATTTATCAGAATTCTCTAGAAATATAAACCTATATAACTTGAGAAATGTTGTTTATTTGCAATGCCACATAAATTATTTGCTTTTCATACTCATAAGCATTGAGTCAAAACAATCACCTGGCTTTAGAAAACTGCAGAGCAAATTGTACATATGGAGCCATCCACACCAGATATAGTCTCTCAGAATTTATAATCCAAGGGCCAAATAATCTCAAACCTGCAACAACACACGTTTTAAACTTTTAGTGATTATTTGTAAGCATCGATATTCACAAAATAGAAGAGAACTCTTCATGGAAGTCAAACTGAATTTTTGAACAACTCTTTTCATCGACCTCAACTTTCATAGAGAATTTCTTAACCACTGATCCTATAACATTCTTCTCATCATTATCTAAACTATTGAGCATCTCTATAATTCAAAATTTTCTAATGATGTAAAATGCCATAATAGAACCGAAAAAGAAATCAAAAAGCTAGGGAGCAACTCTATAAATAGAAAAAAATAAAATAAAAAAGGTAGTTCTTGTAAGTATATATCAGTACCAAATTCTGATCCACTGAAGCTAGGGTCTTGGCTAAATGTATGATGTCTATATATGCATTAAACTTAATACTCAAAAGCCGCATATATTCCAGATATAAATACTTCTACCCATGAGAAAAAAAAAATCAAAATATAGAATTTTAAACATAGTCCCATTATGAAATTCATTGTCCCTCATTCCTAGACAAAATTGCTAGCTCATTGCCCCTCGTTCTAAAGACAAAGTTTCGTACTTCTTACAATTACATCAGAAACCCTGTAACATAACTTTTTCTATTATCATTCGCGTGTCTAGGAGAAATGATAACAGATGACGAGAACTTGTGGAATCACCTATGCATAATTCACAATAGATATATCTATATTGACACAAAAAGTAGTTGCAGTTTTGCGAACACAGAAATCACAATTCATATCATGATTAAATCTGGGAAAGCGAGAGTAAACAAATTTTGTAGTGCTTTATCAAATTGTCTATAATGAAGTTAACTTTTAGAAATAATCAATTCAATTATTATTATTATTATTATTATTATAATTATTATTATTATTATTATTATTATTATTATTAATAAATTTAAGACAAATCAACAAACTTATAAAATGATTCTACAACGTGAATATTGAAAAAACTGTATGAAGACTTGAAAATCTTGCACAATTTAAATAAATAAAATTACACTCCTGAAACACCTAATAACATTTTTGTTTTTACCATAATCTGAAAAAATTTAGGGTTTTGGACTCGAGAAAGAGCATCCTTTATCTATTTTCACACCGTCATTGCAGATTGACCTCATCTTTTTGATTTTTTATTATTGCCTTTGCCCCTAAAATAGAAAAAGTAAACCAAAACACATAAAGTAACATATTTTTCCAAGAAAAGAAAGAAAAGAAAGAGAAGGAAAGAAGTACAAATCTCAACTACAAAGAGTGATTATGTTGGAATTTTACCTGAAAACTTTTGGGGAGATCCATCGCGTGGTCTTGTAACACTAAGTGATGTGAATAATCAGTTGCAAGGGTATTTGATTTCACATTTTCCGGTTCATCAATGACACTTTTAATGAGCACGCACGCAGTCTTGTAACACTAAGTGAATAATCAGCTGCAAGGGCATTTGATTTCACGGTTCATCAACGACACTTTTAATGAGCACGCATCTCTCACTGTAACAAAAATACTCAATACTCAAGCTTATTAGTCCACAAGCAATTTGCTCTTGGAACATACATGTGATACACAATTTTTAGAAGCATCTAGATATGATCTCTCCCAGAAAAAGAAAAGTACATTAAGCCTCTCGTATCACAACAATCCTCTGGACCAAATTCTTTATTTCTTTCGGTGGATAAACCACAGGGTCTTCACTTATATTCAGATCGAAAGGTTCCATTTGTTCATGTGTGATTTTACACTACATTCATATAGTATTTAGAGCTTGATTGGTACATTTGTGGTGTATAAATTGCATATTTGTGCTTTAAATTCTATATTTGTTTGGAAAGATATTACACGTGCTCGTTTTGTAGATATTTCCACATATTTGTAGAGCTTTGGCTATTGGAGGAGCATGGTGAGTGCCTAAAAACCCCGGGAGAATGATAGATCGATGCACGGGCGAAAGGAATGGAAGAACCGAGAGAAACGAGCCAAGAATGAGTGCACTTGTACCTGACACGGGTGATGACACGGGCTGCCGGGCCGTGTCGGTGCCCGTGTCACCTCAACAGACAGCAAAGGAGGACTTATACCTGACACGACCTGTGACACGACCTGTGACACGGGCGTGTCAGGTCGTGTCGCGACGCGGGCAGTTTTTAATCGCTTACCTTTTTCGCTTAGGAGGGGACTTTTGGACATATAAAAAGACCTATTTACCTGATCTTGAGCCCTAGAACGTGATTACGCAAGGAAGAGAGCCAGAGAACATGCAAGAGAAGCAATTGGGAAGAAGAGAAGATCGACGACAAGCTTACTATTTTTTCTTTCTATCTTTTGAACTTGTTTTTCTCATGTTGATTTTGAATATGTCTAT